CCCCCACCCCACTGTCCCTGATGTGCTTGCCTGTGTATGAGTGGGATTATAAAAGTGATATATGTAGAGTAAAATATATAGTAGAAGGCACTGAAAGTGTGTGTGTGTGTGTGTGTGTGAGACACTGTAAAGCACTTTGCACTTAAAATGTTATAATTGCTGTAAATCTATCCATCCCTCCATCCATCCTTGGGGCACATTGGCTTTCACAAGGAAGTCTCCAATCACCAACAAGTCCCCATCAGTCCCAGTGAGATGCTAGCTTAAAGGGAAAGGCTGTTGAACCAACAAACCTGGATAGAAGTGAGAATGGACGACACGTCATAAGTTGGGCTCCAGCGATTCTGAAGAATGTCTAAACATATACTGCCATCAGCATAAACTGGTGAAAGAGGGAAAAAAACAATTAGTAAATAATCTTACAACACAGCTACAATGTTTATGCACAAATACTCTACATTTAGTGAGAAAAACAACGCAGTGCTACAAACACTAAGTCTGATAAGAATAATGAATTACACAGAGGCATTTATAAATTGTAACAAACAGCTTTAACATAAGTCTGAAGCCTGGAGATCGGAGAACAAAACAAGCACTGAAAGACATTTGAAGTGTTTCAAATCGATTTACATAAAGAGAAAATCCAGATTTTTAATTTTTAAAAAAAGGAACAGAGCGTTTGTCGGGACTGCWGCCTCACTTACCATTTGGATGAAACATTCTGGAAACAAAGCGAACTGTTGGGGGCTTGTTTGGGTACTCCTCTGAAAACTCTATCAGCAGCTTAAAGGTTCCTGCAGATGAGGGAGACCAAGATTACAAGGAGAGAAAAAGAAGAGAGACAAACAATTTTTTAAGAAGAATACGGATGCAAAACACTAGACAAGAAAAAAAATCTGTTTTCATAAACATCAATTCCAGTAAAACAAGCGAGTCCCTCGTTGAAGATGATATTTCTGCAAGCTAAGACAGGAACACGGGAGGCTAACAAGAGAAAAACAACCAGGTCAGCCCACACCTGACAACTAATTACAAGCCAGAAAAGTGGGTGTAGTGTTTGTGTGTGTGAGTAATGGGGTTGTAGTGGGAAAAATGTGCAAATAGAAAGCAAGAATGCAACTAAGCAAACAAAACCAACTAATCTTCTGCAACACATCAATGTGGAGTGATAAAAATGYTGAATGTGGGGCTGAGAAACTCATCAGAACAGAATAAAACACACATTTATATATTTATTTTATACTTTTGGTGTTATGAAAATATGTCAAACTCCTGCTTCATCCACAGACTGATTTATTACTTGTATACTGGATCATACATTGCTGGGCCAAAAGCAAGTGTCCACCTGGATTTAACTCAGGTCTATGATGTGGGGTCTCTGCAGGTGGTCAGGTCTAGGTTCAGCAACAGTCTGTGCTCAAAGAATGAGGTCAGCTGACTAAGGTYGACCGATACATCGGCCGGCCGACATTTTTGGCCAATATTTGGGTTTTTTCCTTGTATCGGTATCGGCCGATACGCCGTCCGTTCGGCCGATCTGTTCTTTGGGTCACGCGAGCGCATGTGTCCGCCCCTTCCCCCRGGGAGAGCGCAGCAGCTAATGTTGTGAGACAGAGTGCTAACAACAACAAGGGTGAGTTATTAAATGTAAATGTGTTTTAACTGTCTAATTTAGCTGTTTCCACCCTCTGTGTCGGAATATGAGGGAAGAGAGAACAGCTGTCTTTTCCGTACAGCACCATGTTTTACTGTCACACCGCACTGTAATCAGCGTGTCCGCGTTGTTTTTCTTTTTAAAAATGCTGGAGCTGCTCTCAAGAGGCATAGAAAAAACACCTCTATTGTTCTCCCTGCTGGATTAAAATAAAAAAAGCTTTCGATCTTTTCTCGCTGAATGTTTTAGCGAGCGCAGCCGTCCACTATCATGTGAACCAGACGCTGCTCACATCACGTTTGTTCTGACAGCAGTATAMAAGTCATGATGCTGGTTCTCTTCGGTGTACATTTCAAACTGTGATCTAAGGTTAACGTCAGCTGTTTTAAATGCATTTTTTGCCTGGTGGTAAAAACAGGAGCAGCAGACTGAGGCAGAGATGCTGTGAGCGCTGTGTGTGTGTGAAGTCCTCACAAAGATAGCAAGATGTATGTGTGTCTCTTCTTTTTCTCTGTGTTGCTCTGACAGTTTTATTTAGACCTGTTGCTGTTTTTGCATCAAAAATGCTGGGGATGGAATATTAGTCATTTTATGTAAAAATATATTAATCTTATTAATATACAAAAAAAAAACAGAATGTTTAGCACTATATAAAATAAATCATGAATTTATTTATTTTTATTTTTATTTTAAGAAAGGGCTGAAAGAAGAAATCCTGTGTGGCAGCACTTCATACAGCCTGCATCAGACAAGCCTTAGTTAATAAATGTTATTTTTTTGTTTTTGTTTTAAATTAAGACTTGTGTAACATTTGTTATTCTTATTTTTATCATGTTAATGGAGGAAGAAAAAGTAGTATCGGCTTCAAGAATTGGCCAAAACAATAAAAAAAAAATCGGCTGCACGTATCAGCGTATCGGTTAGACTAATGTTTAAAAAAAAAAATCGTATCGGCCTTCAAAAACCTGTATCAGTCGATCTCTACAGCTGACTACCTGAATATACTGAATGAGCAGGTTATTCCATCTATGGATTGTTTTTTCCCTGATGGCACGGCCATATTCCAAGATGACAAAGCCAGGATTCACGGGGCTCTTATTGTGAAAGAGTGGTTCAGGGAGCATGAGAAATCATTTTCACACAGATTGGCTCCACAGAGTCCATAGAGAATCTTTGGGATGTGCTGGAGAAGGTCAGACTCTACCATCATCAATGAAAGATCTTAGTGAAAAATTAATGCAACACTGGATGAAATAAATCTGGTGACAATGTAGAAGCTTATCCAAACAATGCCACAAGAGTGTGTGCCTTTTGTTTTGGTGGCGACATTATTTTGGCCAGGCAGTGTGTAATTCAGTGAAAATTATCAGCAGGAAGATATTTGTACAAATCAAGCACTTTTAGAAACTACATTTGGAAAAACCTGTGCCAAAGAAATCATTAGAACTCTTCTAAAARCCAGATAAAAAGTGTTTCTAACACTGAAAGTCTTTATGCAGACAAGTTGTACACAGGACTGTATTTGCATATTGTACAACCAGTAATCGTGTTTCCATCCAGTTGTAGAGTGAATTTTTATCGAACTTTTCAAAAATTCGCAAAAAAATTAAATAAATAAAAATTCGAATCTAGACTGTTTCCATCTAGTTTCCCTCTCGACTGTTTGATGCGAATAAACGAGGCTACGCAACGCGTGATTACGTCAGACGAGGCTACGCAACGCGTGATTATGTCAGACGAGGCTACGCAACGCGTGATTATGTCAGACGTCGGCGACAAGCTGCGGTAGTAAACAGGAAGTGAAACTTGCCAACTAGCAGAGGCTAATCATCTCGGGACAATGGAGCAATTTTTTTGTGAATGCCTTGCTATTGGGCAAGTTGCAATTATTCCATCTATTCWGCTAGTACAGGCTATGTTTAACGCTGCCAGGAGACGTAGGGAAAATAAACGCAATGTTACACTACGCAGCAGAAAGGCACGTGCAACTACGCCGGGACGAGGCAGGAAAGCGGAAACAGCCGTGAGGTAAATATGCGCTACGTCAGAATTTATTCGGCAAACGTGTTTCCATCTCCCGTTTTGCACATTAACTACTTTGCGAATCATCCAAAAACCACCTCAAGCGAGCACAAAAAACTTTAGCGAATTGAGGATTTTTTTTTTAGAATTTTGCTGTTTCCATCCAACTTTTTTTTCGCATTTTTAATGAAACACTTCTAAATGTGCATCAAAAAGCCTTGATGTTAACACGGTTAGTGACAGATACTGTGTGCACTGAGGAAAACAGCACTTATAAATGGTACCCCTCAACACACACACACTAATTTTTGGGTTAATTGGTTTCAAAATGTGAACAAAATTTAAATATGCATGAGGAACAAGGACAAGGAGTACAACTGTATTTTAAAAATAAACTTTTTATGCATCAGTGCACACAAGTGATGTCTGCAAATGAACAAAACTTGATCATTTCAGTAAATAATTTAGGCATGGTGAAGTAGGTTATGAATTTATAACTTACCGTCTTCGAATGGTGTTCCGACAGGTCTGCAGAAAACAGAGAGGTTAAAATTTATATTTAACACTAAACAAAAAGGAAACCTTTTATTAATCCTCACACTGACCTTCACTTTCAGTAAAATGTGACCATCACAAGTTGTGTTTCAGATGAAGCCACACACACACACACCCCTTTATTTACTCAGCTCCAGACTTTATTACATTACTGTTTGCTGGAAGGAAGTCAAACAGCTGCCTTCACAGCTTTTATTTCTGGCTGCTCTTTCTTTGAATTAGGTGATCTACTATTAGTAAATCTATTTTTACAACCCACCCCTTCACATTTAAAACATTCATTGTCATTTTTGCACAATTTATTTTCCTTTTAGCTGCACATCACATTGTGCACCAGCAAACATATTTCAACTAAACAACTGTTTTTCCCCCCCTGGCACTCTTTGTTTCACACTGATTCCAGGCTCGGCCTGTTCTCCATCAAACACCCTGCTGTGAGGCTCCCTGCTTTATTCTGATTGCTTTGTGAATCTTATTTTTTATTAAAAGGAAACRGGTGTACAAGGGGGAGTGGGGGGGRCGAGAACGCAGGAATACAGAGTGGGCTGCAGGAGCGCTGCATCGTAGAGACACAGCATCAACAGCAGGGCGGGGTTAGATATAGAACATGACTCACCCAAAAATAACAGCGTTCCAAAGCATGATGTTGTTCTCCGACGGTGCTCCACTCACACCGGTAGGAGGATCCTCTTGAAGCCTGATAAMCAAAAGAAAAGAACATTAGAAAATAAAATCAATAAAATATGACAGGGACAATGGAAAAGAAGATATAAAACTTTAGCAAAAATAGCACAAAATTTTAAATCATTAAAGGGATCCCCAATTAGCTGTAACATTAGACTTTATATGATAAACATATACTTTAACTGTAAAATAAAGACTGTAAAATATAATATATAATATAATCTTTTGTCAATTAATGTTAAAAAAAACTGTGTGCATGTATTTTTCCTCACCCAGGAGACATTTCAATATAACAAATCAACTCACTTTTTTAAGCAAACACATTGATATTGTCACCACCTACAAATATCTTGGAATTACTTTGGATTCTCATTTGACTTATCGTGATC